AGCGCTCACAGCCCCCCCCCCCTCCCCGATTGTTCTCTGCATTTGGAAGGGGAGGGAAGGAATTATTAAATTGGGCTTAAATATCGTATTATTTTTCAAACAAAATGCATTTTAAAAAACAAAGTGCATTTTAAACAAACAAAATCAAATCATATTGAATAACATGACGTTGGTAAATTTGAAAAAAATGGTATAAGGCATAACAAATACATTTTAGAACACAGAAGCAACGACGGAAAATAAGTTACACCTATTATTTGTCCGGACCACACGTGATTTGGTTAAACGAAATAATGGTGAATGGTTCCGTCATTTGCAGTCGGACAAAAAAAGGTGTGGTGTGCCCTCTTAGGGTATTTATTATGCAATATAAATTAAGTTTTATATGTAGCAATAAAACTATAGCATAATTTGAAAGGTTAAACAAATTTTTATATTTTGCGCATTTATTCATTGATCATTGAAATCATTTAAAAATTTAGATTTTGTACAATTAAATTCTACTAAATTTATCACATTAAATTCTACTGAATGTAACAGTTTCTTGGAAACAATCAGCAATAAATAAATGTTATAACTTAAAATGTTGACTTTAGTAAGATGAAATTATAGAGATTAGAACAATCCTTATCTGTTCAGTTGAATATTTCTTAGCTCCTAGCTCAGTATTTTGAATTTTTACTTGAAGTTTAACAGCGTGATTATTTACAAAATTTCCCTTCTGTCATTAGATTTCATTCAAGCTTTTGATTTCAGTTTCCGCTTCTAATTTTCAAGAAGTTTCTTGTTTTTCCTCCAAATTTCATTCCAGTGTTTATTCTAATTTTTGATACAAATTAAACGTCTGGGACCGAATTTATCGAATTGTAAACCTTCCCACCGCCGGTTCAAATCCTGAGTCACTGATTCAAGCCCCTATCAATCTTTAACTTTAAATCAGTGATTCAAGATTTTAACCGTCGTAGGTAGTTCAGCGACCTAGCTCAAGTTTGTTAAATTCGGTCCCTGGTTTATTTCAGGAGTTAAGTTCTTGATTTTCCTTAATATATATTCCATGTATAGCTTCTGATTTTTTAAATCCATTTCATTTTTTATTTTCTTGTTCTAATTCGAAGTTGCCAGTTTCTATGATTCAGTCCAGGTTTCTATTTCTATTTTTCATTCCATTTTAATTTCAAGTATTTATTCTTATTACTTGTCTCTGGTTTAACTAGTTTTCATTCCAGTAATCTATATAATAAAACAAGACATTCGTATATATGTTCCCTATAGTCGGCCAACGGCTGGACCAAATGGGCTGACATTTTTTATGGACACTCGTGGGTAGCCTGAGTGTGACAAAGGCTAAAAAATTCGATTTAAAAAAAATCCACGGGCAACGCCGGGCCCTTCAGCTAGTTGTTTATATTTCCATCCCAGCTTTCAAATCATAACACTATTTTTAATTTCTTCATTTTGTTTTCTTAAAGATTCTATTTTCCTCTCCAGTTTTTAATTTTTGGCTTTTATTCCAGTTTATTTTTTATATTTTATTCAAGCTTCCGAGTCATGTCAGGACTAAAAGAACAACTTCAAATTGTACTTAAACAAGATTTAAAACATACATTTAAAATATACATTCATAAATGCACATTTCAATACATTTTATAGAAGACTTTGATGGTTAAAATGATTAAGATTGAAGAATGTAGTTGAAATGTATGTACATCAAAAAAGGATTCAATATTCACAAAAGTATGGATCCGATATCAAGGAAGGAAGAGGAGGACAGAGAACTGAGCCAAATTTTTAACAAACTCACAAACTACAAAGTCTACCCTGAAAGGTTCAAGTATTAAAGATTAATGTGTAAGAAAGAGAAGAAGTCAGTCAGGGGATACAACGATTGAGAGTGAGACAGATTGAGAAAAGGAGTTATACTGAGTAAGTTTCAAAGAAAGAGAAAATGAGCAAGGTTTAGATTCATATATAATAAGGTGGAGCAGGAGCATGCCTAAAATACTCTTATCTATCGATTGTCAATAATACGTCAGCTAGCAATTATTTCATATCTTGAAAAGTACGGTTAATTATAGAAGAATTAATAATAATAACATTACTAAGTGTTGTGAAATTAATCTTTTAAAATTAGAAATAAAATTTAAAACTTTAAATAAAACTTTAAATTATATATACAGGGTTACCCAAAAAAGATGAGACTGTAAAGATGACTCAAATCTCTAAAAATATGACATTTTAATCTTGAGTTTTGGTTTCTGCATTCAATTGAGTATTTTGAGGTTTTAGTAAATGAGTAAGCGGTTCTGGCATACAAGAAACCCTAAATGCAAGAAAAGGGACTATAAACAGATTCCGTACAATAGTCTCTGAAGTCTCATCCTTTGTTGATAACCATGTATCTCCCCTTTAACAGCTGTTAATAATATCATTTAAAGTTTAATTAGTAAAAAAAGGAAGTTTAACAATTCCACGGTTATTTTTCAATGACTAAAATGTCTGCAATTCCATTAATATTGTAGGGAAGAACGTGAGTAGATTTTCTGTTACTCCAAAAATGTTTTAAAATCATTAATGTAAAATATTTTTTAATTGTCTTAATCAAAAATACGAAAGGGAGCCCAGGGTTTTTAAAAGTTCAAGTACATTAAGAAATCTTTAAATGGTCTGTTATTATTTGAATTAATCATTAATAAATAATTATGTTGCAGATGGTGGTTAATGGCAACTGTGGTTATTTTGAATTTGGCAAACTATGCGCACTGGATAGCGTTCCCAGCCGTAGCGAAGAAGGCCGCAGCATATTATGAGGTTACAGGAGATCAGTTAGATATGATTCCAACTGTGAGGCAGGAAACTAGATGACTTAAAAAAATTCTTTATCTCTATGTTTAGAAATTAATATACTGTTATCCTTTCCTTTTTAATCCCGATTACTTACATTTATCTTTCTTAGAGATTAACAATACTTATACAGGGTGTCCTTTTAATTATGCCAATTTTGAAACCTTAATAATGAACAAAAATATAGATCTGGTTACATTTATTCAGTGACATCTTTAATCTACAAATATGAACGTTTTGTTATATCAATTGGTTCACTTCTTTTGCTCTAACAATTATTCAAAATGGACACCTTTCTCTTGAATGCATAATTTGGCTCTGGTACAAAAATTATCAGCAACCCTCAGCCGAGTATCTCTTGAGATTCTCTTCGCAAAGTTCTCAACAATCACTCTCTTGAAGGCTATCACAATTGGAACATTCTTCTTTCTGGTGGTGGCAATATAATATAATCCCAACTATGTTATTATAGTATATAGAGTAACTAGAAATTCAAGGCGCTTCGCGCCCTTATTTCTAGGCTTTTAGGGCGCCCATCTTATACTTAAATTGTGAACATGTTCTTTTTGTTTACATTTTAAAACAAAGAAGAAAATTTTTTTGCGGATTTAAAAAAAAAATCGCAAATTTTCAAGAATTCATATTTTTTTTGCAAAATTAAAAACCTTTAAAACTAAATTTTTTAAAATTTTTATCATTCATAAACCTTCCCTGTGGTCACGTGATGCCCCACAAAAAATTTGGCCCCGATCGGTTCAGCCGTTTTGACGTTTATTGAATGCAAACAAACAGACAAGCCAAATTTATATATAGATGGCCTTTACTAATTATACAGGCCGCCCATGTACTCCACTTCCAAATAGACGACATTGATCATTACTCATTACATAACATATTTATCATTTCAGTTATTACGTAATCATCGAACCCTTCAACATATAAATTATTCGTTATTGTAAAACCGGAACTTTCCATGCATGTTCCAATGGTATATCACAATATTTTATTTGTTTCTTAACTAACATTTTACTAGGATCATTTGCAATAGAAAATAAATTTCTGCCAAGAACTGTGTTAAGGTCATTTTTACATAATTATTAGAAAGAAATCTAATGCAAAGCTTAGAACTTGCTTTAATAGTATCATAGAAAGACACAGATCTACTAGCTAACATAGTTTTTACATGTAAACGTTGTGAAATACTTTCAATCAAGTACCTATGCGTATCTCTAGGTACATTAAAAAGAATTCTAATAGCAGTATTCCATGCTGTACACAATTTGAAACACATTGGGAACTCAAGTCCCAAATACTAGATCCATAAAAACTACAACAATAAATATTATACAGTTTCAAAATAACATCAGGACTGTTAAAATAAAATTCTGGGTTAAGGGAATGAATTTTTGGAATGAAAATAGCTCGTTTTTTATTGCAATCTATGGTCATTGAATTATCACTTTACAGAACATTTCCTAAATGTAAAAGTCATTTAGTTTTACATTTTTCGATTCGAATATTTGTACTAAATTTCAGTTTAGTAGCTTTGGCAAAAGGAATTGAGTCTTTGTCACGAATTATGATTTTCAAATCTCTTTATCTTTGTAATTCAATGCCGTAGACCTTAGATATTTCAAACTATGAATTCTGTTGATGAAAAAATCTAAGTTTGAAATATCAAAGGTTTACACCATCAGGGGGAAAAAATATAGGGATTAGAAAATCAGAGTTTGTTACAAAGACTCAATTCCTTTTCACAAATTTTCACCATTTCCTGAAGACCTGTTCTGCTAGGAGAAAACAGAATAATATCATCTGCATTTGCCATTTACCCATGTAGACACCCTTGGATTTGGCATCCAATCGATAAACAGCATAATAACTTAATAACTTTGTCAATGTATATACAGATTAGCACAGGGGAAGAAACTGCACCTTGTCTGACTCCATTTTGTACACTGAAGGTATTTGAGAACGCATTACCCCATCTAGCATTACATTTTTTATTTGAGTAAATGAACATTAAACACCTTAATGCTAGAGGTGAAACACCCCTCTCCAATAACTCCGAGAAGATCAAATGCCTTACTCAGATCCATTATTGCACAAGAATAAACTGCTCTACCAGCTCTGTTGTAATAATCCACTACAGAGTTGACTGTACTGGCTATAGCTTCTAAAAACCAAACTGAAGTTCATCTGTGGTCAGCTTATCAGAGTTTAGAATTAATATCAACTAGTCAAACCATTTTAGAATCATGCTTCAATATTACAGCACTTGGAGGTGATTTCTGAAAATATTTAGTTAGGAGAATTTGTTTTCCATTTAACTATAGAAATCCACTACTCCTTTATCGTGTGCAGGATTACATTTTCACAGGAAGACGTAATATTAGTCTTTCACAGAACAATATTTCATCAATAATAAACGGTTCTGACAAAACTGAGTAAAATTCAAGATACAAAACCTCCCTATACACTTTTCCTCCGAAAGCGTATACTGCATATTTGATGTTTGTACTGTATGATTAGACCATAATCTCATAATATCCTTGATCAGTAAACTTATACACATGGACAGGTAGCTAAGATCCAGCCCCCCTGTATAATCCCTGCGGAGCTGAGTTAATCCTTTGTCAGAAGAATAATTCTGAACAATCCAAATCTTGGGTTCTTTAGAAAATACCACATTGGAATAGGGCTCAAATGAAATAACTGAATTTGCGCACTTTTTGGTATTAAAATTGTGATATTTCACGTTCATATTTTGATTTTTACAGATTGAAAAAATTCCCAACAATAAAAAAGTTACAGCAATTTGAAATTGGCAAGAATAAAAGAACACCCTGTAGTAAATGCATTATGTATAATGAAAAAATGTATATTAACGATAACAATCTTTACTTCTCGCGACACTAGTTATGCTGCTGGAATTCCAACCTGTCTTCTTGCAACATATCTCGTGGAGTCCAGAGGACTTAAGTTTGGGATTAGGATTGGATCTATTCTTACAGGCCTTGGTGGATTTCTGTGCTGTGTTGGCACATTTCCAGGGTTATCTGTATACATACCCATCCATGTTCAGTACTGGATGGCTCTATTAGGCCAGGCTGCTACAGGCGTTGCCTGTCCCTTCATATCCTGTGTTCCTACAAAGGAAGACTAACATCATTAATCATTATTCTAATTAATTTTAAATTACCAAAGTTTTTTTTTTAATAGTAATGCTTATAGCGTTTGGGTCTTCATCTCTTGAAAAATTCTAAGTTCTTTTCTTTATGGGTGTTTGTTTGTTACCAAAAAACGTCAAAGGTTGTGTTGGTTTTCTTCTGACAGAATTTTAAGATGTCCCTTACTAAATCATATGTTCATAATTTTAAAATTTCGCATAATATTCCTATTTCCTGACATTTCTTGTCAAATTAGAAGATGCTTTTGTAGGATGTATAATAAGAGGTTTTCAATGCTTAAAAAAGTTATCCAGAAAATTGATGGTTAAATACTAAGCCAACTGTATAATTCATGGTGATGCATTACATTCTTTTTCCCACTTTTATAGCCAAATATTCAAAGTAGTTTTAATTTGTAAAATGAAGTCTGAAATTAGATCTCCCTTCACTGGTTTCCAGACAATCAGAGAACACTTGCAACTACTGTAATCGGTATGAGCTATCCTCTAGGTATAGTTGTAGGACAGGGGCTTACTCCTCTAATAATTAAAAGCCCGGATCAGATTCCTCTCATGAATATCATTTTTTTCATCCCTGCTGGAATAGGAGCAGTTCTTGGCATAATAAAAGTGAAAGCTAACACTCCACCAAGCCCACCAAGTCCATCAAGCCAGCTATGCGTAAACAGGAAGTAAGTTTTAACAAAAAGTTTTTATACATGAAATAGCCACAGGTGCATGTCACATCTAAAGCTCTGTGCAATATCTATTGGTCAGATTTGTTCCTAATTCCGTAAAGAAAGGTTCCGCCCTAATTTCCAAAGTTAATTTTGGGATTTTTATAAATAAAGGCTTCAGGAAGGTTCCATAATTCGAAAGATCTTTACGAACCGAACTTGATCCTGAAGAAATTGAAAAACCTACTTAAATATCGCCTGTAATTTCATTTCATTTACCTAATGAATGGCATAGAATGTGTGCAAAAACAAAATTATAGTAAACTTTTTTGTGTTTTGAAAATTAACAGAGAAATCAGTTATTTAAACATTTTAGATTTTATTAGAGAAGTCTAAAGAAATTGCTCCGCTTATTTTAAAGGTAGAAACATGGCAGACTACATTTTAGAAATCCCAAGACTAAGAGTTTTCGACCTTAATTATTTAACTAAATTATTTTAGCAAGGGTATTTACTAAAAAATGCCGTGCAGATTAAAAAACTATCTAAAAGTCGTCACTTCCCTTGTTTATTGGGACACTCTGTACACAAATTCTACACCCCCCTAACACAAAACCATAAGCGTCTCTCTAGTACAAATTAGCTCTTTCCTAAACGTAGAAGATATTTACCAGACATGACAGTACGACCCTTACCTCCCAAAGGGTATCGATTTGAGGTCCGGCTTTTTACATTTAAGTTTTTTTCAACCTCCAAAGGGCTCAACACAAAAGTGAGTTTTTAATCCATTTACAAAAATGTATTCTCGATAAGATTGCAAGCTTGTATAATTATGCAATAAATCAAAATATTAATCAAAACGATTTGAATAAAAAAGATTATAATAATCGTTTGAAAAAAATTTATTTGGATTTAAATCTATGGTCAAAGTAAAAATTTGCATGATATTATAAAAGCAAACTTATAAAGCATGCAATTTTTGAAATATGGGATACACATCTGATCTAGATTCTTAAAATCCTGAACACTGATGTTTAGAAATAAATATATTTTAGGATGAACTATATTCACACTTTGAAGGAGGTTTTTACTAACAAAGCTTTTGTAATAATATTCTTGTTCCTTGGGGGCGCCATGTCCTTCATCTCATGTTTAGCGACCAAGATGGAGCAGATAATGTGCAGGTTAAATTAAATCAACTAAAACACCATATTAAATATATAAAGAAAGTTTATACTGCTCACAAAATATGGCCAAACATTGATTATAACCAGAAGCAACTAAGATTTTTTTAATAAAGGGTTTACTTTATTATGTAAATAACGTGGTGTTTTAAAGTCTAGCTTTCGCTCATTCTCAATATTTATCGATTTCTTCTAATGAACTATAGAAATTATTTCTTCTGTAGAATTTTGAGCATTAACATGTGGTTTACTTAAACCCAATCCAGAAATTTCCAACTCGAGAAAGTTGATTGATAGTCGAATTCAATAAATAATAATTTTTTTCATGGTTTTCATTTAGTGTCGGTTACAGTGATGAGATGGCTGGTCTAACATGTTCCATTGTCATCTTCTCAGGAGCACTTGGAACCGTTCTCTTTGGAGTAGCAGCAGAGAAAACGGGAAGAATGGTGGAAATAACAAAAATATGCTGTTTTGGTTCCATTATTTGTCTCCTTGTTCTCTCCTACCTCCTCCTCATGCCAGATGTAATGGGGTATATTATAGCAGCAAGTGTACTCCTGGGTGTATTCACATTAGGAGTCTTTCCTTTAGCCCTCGAGCTTACTGTAGAGGCTACGTACCCAGCTGACCAGGTTTTTTAAATTTTAAATATTTATCTTAATATTTTTTAAATCTTTTGCAGATATGAATTGTACAGTGTACAGTGTACACTGCACAATGTACATTGTAAATTGTACGGAATTATAGTTTGACAATATACTATGTAAGGAATAAATGAGATACATATTCTTTAGGACGACTAGTGCACAAATCTTTAATTACTTTTTAATTTGAGCCATTTATATTTTGACAACAAAAATTAATTTTATATCAATTAACCAAGCTTGCCTTACAAAGAAAAAATTTTAGATTTCAACTTTACAGAAGACATTATAATTACAAATGCACGTCATTATTCTTTGTCTTCCAAAAAGCTAGGGTATACAGATATTTCTAATGTCCGGTTTCTGAACTATAATGTTAAAAGCCAAAAACCGAAAATTCTCAAATAGAATCCCTTTAGGCCACCGTTACTTGTTTTATATTCCTCTCCTCAGCAGTACAGGGAGTTCTACTTATGGTTACAGAAAATTGGTTAGGCGACCCTCTACCAGACAAATACAAGGCATGTATTTTAAATGCTGCGTCGAGATTACACAGTTTAAAGGGGTGTGCAAATTGAAGCAATCGCTTCCCCTAAGCATTGCATTTCAGCAATTTGTTCACCGCTGAGAAGTTTTTGGGTACGCTCACGCGCTCATCGGTTTTAGAAGGAAGTTTTACAAAAAATATGTACTTACAGGGATGAGGCTTTATTGACGACGTGAAATTTTTTGAATACGATGAAAAAAAGGCTAATTCCTTAAAACATTGCCGTGAACAATACTGGCGCACATCCTAGAAATCCAAGGAAGTACAGGATTTCGTTTGCCGGACAACTTCTTTTTAAATTAAAATCGTTGATTCGAACAAAAAGTAATATTTTTTTAAAAATAAATAAAGGAAATAAATCAAGTATTTATTTCGACCTCAATCGTATAAAAATAAAAATACTCATTTGGCACCTCTGATTTGTATATTTAAAGGCCAAATGAAAAGTTTTATTTAAAGTACAACTATAGGTCAAGGAAAATAAAAATTACAAAAATTGTACAGTCCAAAAGAGACACATCACACTTTATTAATATTAAGTAACCAAATCTGTAATTTTGTTTCCCTATAACTGGAAATTTATTGTCTTTTTTGATTGATTAAGGTCGGATTTTGCTTGTTTATAGCCATTGCACTTACGTTGAGAATATACCTAACCTTGCTTGTTCTAGACGATAGAAACATGTTCAATGGGGCACGGTGTTGGAGATGAGGAATCAGGGTTCCTTGAGCCCAAGGATTACACAAACTACCTTCTATTTGTTGTCTTATACGTCACTATACTCATCTGTATCTACATGTTTTTCTTCAAGACAGAGTTGAGAAGAACCAACGCCAACAATATCAGGTTAGTTATCTTCTCAATTGTTGAGGCAACATTGAATACGTAAACACATTTTAGATTTGGATAATGTTACATCGTCTATACGCAATATCCCCTCTACTGAACTTCTGACCTACGACAGCTGATTATTTTGTATAAGTTTAGGTTAAGACATTTTCTGGGCCGAGCGCTGCGGCTAGGACAGGTTTGGAGGCCAAGCGCTGCAACCAAATGTCCGACTAGCAGACTATATAACCACGTGCTAGTAGTTCGGAAGTGTAGTAAAGCGGATGTGCGTAGGTCGCAAGATACACTATCGAGGATTTTACACAATTTTCAGCATGACTTCTAGGTCCTAATCCTCCTAACCGTCATATAAAGCAAGCTTCCAACTATATATCTTTATATTAAGGAAGAGTATGCAGATTGCAAAGTTTAGATCAGATATGGATGTAGAAAGTCTAATACCTGGAGGGATGACAGTTGTGAGAGCAGTTTCTCCACGAAAACGACTCATCACGTGCTGATAACCCCTCGTTAACAGGAGTCGATGAATTTAGTCATGAAACTAAGCAGTAATTTTGAAAATATTAAAGAAAAATGTATCATTTCCCAGACATGAGCAAACCTGTAAGCGACATTAAATATTCTACACGGAGCTCTCATTAAAATAAACTTCCGGTTCAAATTAGTTAAATACATTACATGCAAAACAATCTGTCTAATATTTAATTTTTGTAAATATATATTTATTTATTATTATTCAACTTAGTTTACGATACACGAATAGTATTAGAAAACAAGTTTTAAATGAAGTAAAATTACATGGAAAGCTGAACTAAGGAGATATTTAGATAAAATGATGAGGTTGAGAGGATGAGGAAAAACATATCATAACTATGAGAACTACGCAACGGACATGGCAGGGCGATCTCTCTCCGCAATGAGTTCTGAGTTGGCTGAACTGAACCCAGTTGCTCCCCGCTGGATGTAGATAATATCCTTCTCCTTCAAACTTTGTCCTGAAAACAAAAGTTAAAGCATTTTCGTTCGAGACTAATTCCGCAAGGATTGGCCTTAATCAATTTTCAACTAAGTTTTTTTCTTCTAGAATTGTAACTGTCCGAAAATCAAAAAAATAAAGGTCTAGCTTTTCAATTTATATGACTTGGATTTTTTTCTGTTCAGCTAAATTTTGTCTGATCCATGTTTTCCAACGCGACTTCTGAAAAATTAAATTTAATCTATTTTATGTACTTCTGTCCTTCCAAGATAGCATGATTGTTGTTCTGTAAATATAAAGTTTTGCATCTTTTAACTAATCTCTTACAGTGAAGCCCTTAATAACGAATACATCGAAAGAATTCATCAAATGTCGTATTCTTCACTTTCTGATAATGGAATGTTGCTGATATTTAGTTTTTTTAATTAAATGATTATATGGAACTCTTAAAAACTATTCCCGCATATTCATGGCTATTAATTTATTTTCGCAAATACTGAAATTTACGTAATATAGTATAAAACTCATTGAAAAATTGTCAAGGCGACATTTGATAAATTCTTCCGATGTATTCGTTATTAAAGGTTTCACTGTAATACAGAATTCCTCCCCCTTCCTAGAAAATAACTCTGAAGTCTCTAAGTCTCAAATCTCTAATTTGTAGCAGAAGGGCTTAATGTGCCTGTACTTCATTCCCATAATTTGGTCCTTTGCCTGATAATGAATTTAAATTGCAGGACTAATGTGGTGTTAAAATATTTCTTGATAAGAAATAATTTAGTTTGAGTTAAAATCAAACACAGCACACTAAAGCGAAATTGAAAGATTGTTGGTCTACAATATTTATTTGCAAATTCCCATAAAACAATTATATTTATCAAGAGCTTGCTCTTAGTTTCATTTGATAAGAAGTCTAACCTGTTAGAGGATGCTGCCAATCTTTCTTAATGATTTTCTCAACACAGTCAACGGTAACTACATGACCTGTTGGACGGAGTACAACACAATGAGATGAATTGTTCAACACGTCTCCCGTAACAGCACACTGATATCTCTCCTCTCTACAATCATTTTACATTTCAAATTGTTTAATACGCATATAAATTGTAAATGAATCGACTAGGATTTGAGTAAAAATTAATCTAAAATCAGGATCCAAAAATGTTTATAGATTTCTTGATCCTTTTAGTTAAACCTACTTCAGGTTCAGGTCTGCTGTGTTATGTGTACACTGCACAACCCTTATTATTTTTGCCGCATTTGGGGTGTTTTAAACTTGATATTTCATCTAAAACGCCTTCAAATGGCAGTTTCTGCGCTAAGCTAACAAAATTATAGATTTTAAGGAGAAAAAACAATTTATGCACACATTCTCTGTATTTTATGAAACAAATGATGAAACTGATTAAACTTGTATCTCTTTTTAATGCAGAATTGTTAACAGTAATATCTCAGAAGTGCCTGAGGTTATATGATCAGACCATAATCTTTAGTTTCTCCAGATATCCAGGATGATTTATCCGGCCCAACCTTCCAGAGAATGCCAGAAACTTGTTAAAATCTTGATGAATTGACTTTAGATACGTGATCCGTGTAATAAATTCCCAGGTTTAGATGACATCAAGTTCAGAGAACGCCTTATTCAAACTACCAAGAATCCCAAAGATGGAATGGATATCTCCTGAACTATGGGTTTGGAAAGAGTTCATCCCCTGAATCATGAACCTTATAATTCTAACCATGGAATATTTCATCTATACCTAGAAGTTTATCATCCAAAGCTTGAGAGAATATCACCTGAATTGTTGGGTTTATCATCTAAACCTTGAAGTTTTTCTCCTCAATCATCAAGCTTTTTAGTTAAACTTTACAGTATATCAATTGAACCTTGGAGTTTTGTATATATATTTCAAAGTTGGTCACCAGAACCTTCGAGTATGTCATCTGAACCATGGCGTTTTTATCTAAACCATTTAAACCAAAGAGTTTTTCGTTTGAACCATAGATTTTTTCATTTCAACCATGGATTTTTTCATTTCAACCATGGATTTTTTCATCTAAACCATGGTGTTATCATTTTAACCAAGGAATTTTTTTCTCCTCTAAACCAGAGTTTTTTTTATCTAAACCAAGGTGTTTATCATTTCAACCATTGAGTTTTCCATTCAATGCATAGAATATTGATTTCTTATATAAACCATGGTGTTTATCATTTAAAACATGAAGTTCTTCATTCAAGCAGTACTTAAGATTCATTTAATCTGGATGCGGATCCGGATCTGGATCCTAGTTTATATTTTATAATGTTTTATTTTTTAGAAAACGTTTTCAACGGATTTCGAAAATTGTGAGTGGTGTGCGGCATTCTTTCTTAGATAGTTGCGCAAGCGACAAGAGAAACAAACATTATAAAATATGAACTATATACAATTGTGGCGAAAGATAATCGATGACTATAGGTTGTAATATCTGAATGATTTGTTTGAAATTAAATTGATTTTTTTACGGTCTATGTCGTGTTGCAATAATCTAAACCAAGGTGTTTATCATTTCAACCATTGAGTTTTCCATTCAATGCATAGAATATTGATTTTTTTATATAAACCATTGTGTTTATCATTTAAAACATGAAGTTTTTCATTCAATCAGTACTTAAGATCCATTTAATCTTGATGCGGATCCGGATCTGGATCCTAGATCCGCACTGGGAAAAAGTGGATACGGATCCAGGTTATTTCTTTAAAGGGGGGGGGGCAAAACGTATTATTCTTCGGAAAATTAAAACAGTGATAAAACATAACTTAGAATTGTCGTAGAACGCTGATTTTTTGCACGTGAACTTTAAATTATGTGTTGTAACTGTAAAATTCAGTTTTATAAAAATCTGAGCTAAAGTGCACGCGCACGCGCTTTTTGGTGGAAAATGTTACTTTTTTTCGCATTTTGGCAATCTCGACACCATGAAATGAACTTGAATTTGCAACTATATGCTTTCAAACATGTAATCCCTGCGATTCTAAACTTTTCAATTTAAGCATTATTCAAAACAAAAGTAGCATGCGATAAATCTAACTACAGGTAAATTGGGACGAGGAATTCATCTAATCTGACATCGAAAATGGATTTTTTGTACCCTGTAAATTGATATACAGCTCGAAGAATATGTGGTTAGATGATCCTAAACGTAATTGCTGGCTACTAGCGCGCCGATCAGAGTGCTCTAACTACGTTTTTGACCCAAGAAATAGAATCCCCGTGCCTAATTACCTATAAGACATGTAAAATGTGTGGCAAGATGACCCATAAAGTAACTCTGCACGGCTACTAGTGTGCCGATCAGAGCGCTCCAATGTCTATTATGACCACAGAAATGAATTACTCGTCCCAATTTACCTGTCGTTTGATGTATTTGTATTTTCTAAAATGCGCGCGCGCGCGGGGGATTTGAGAATTTATCGCGCAAAACTGTTCAGGGATTACATGTTTGAAAGCATCTTAAAGCAAATTCAAGTTCATTTCATGGTGTCAAGATTGCAAAAATGCGAAAGAAGTAACATTTTCCACCAAAAAGCGCGTTTAGAGAGTAATTTTTTTTGAAGTTTTTGGTTGATATTTTGCCCCTTGGATCCGGATCCGTGGATCCGTATTTTCCAAAATCTTGCAAATGCGGATCCAATGGTTCTGGATCCTAAGTACTGCATTCAAACCATGTAGTTTATCACCCGAACCATGGAGTTAACAATTCTTTATCATCTAAACCTTGGAATTCATCATCTAAACCACGGATCTAAAGTCATCTCATCAAGATTTCAACAAGATCTGATTTTTTCTGGAAGGTTGGACCGAATAAAACATCCTGGATATCTGGAGAAACTAAAGAAGACTGTCTGCTCATGTAACATCAGACACTTCTGAGAGATTTTTATTAATATTTCTGCACTAAAAAAAGAAAGATATTTAATTTAATTCCTCATTTGTTTAATAAAATACAAAGAACGTGTGTATAAATTGGTTTTTCTTCATGTAATCTAAATTTTGTAAGCGTAGCGCAGAAACTACCATTTAGACGCGTTTTAGACGAAACATCGTTTTATAAGACCCCCAAAACAGGGCAAAAATAAGATGGGTACTTCTAAATATTTGTTCTAAAATAGTCGTGCTAGAATATATTGAACTGTCAAGCATCTGTGAAATCAGAACTGAAACCTGAATTTCTCCAAATCTTAAATGTGGATTTTCTCAGGATTCCCTCGGTTCCGGATTTAGATTTTTTACATTTTGAACTCAGATTTACCCTCTCTTTAACATAGAATTAATTTCATGCCTGAGCACAAACTTCATGCCTTGAACGGGTTAAGCCTCACTGTGTCTGTTTAGGTGAAATTGAACTTGGCCAAAGTGTACTAGGCAAAATGTATAACTCTATACATTGTTTCATTTTTATTGTTTTTTCTTTGTGTTAATTGTTTAATTCGTAAAGCGTAGACAATTCCTCAAATGGCAAAATGATATGTGTAATTTAACACCAAAAATTTAAATTTAAAACTTTCCCACTAAAACAGAATCTAAAATAATTATGCAACTGTGGAATAAACTACAATACATGGTTTTTAAGATAAAACCTAATATTTTTTAAATGAATCTGTTTTCAACGTTTACCAATTACAAGCCAACAACCATACAAAAAAGTTTAATATATATAATTATAATATACATATATGAGGTAAAATAAAATTAACCTGGCGATGAGGCTACGCTTATCGTCTGGATCTCTGGCAACTGTCCATTGAACATCTACAAGATCCTTTACTCGAATTGGTTTCCTCGACATAGGACAATAAACTGTTTTATCCGGCTTTTCAACCTTACTCTTCTTTGCCTGAAACAATGTAAACTCTGAACGCTGTGATCAAGAAGTATGGAATACTTTATTGATTATATGATTATAAATGCATTGCAGACCGGTACTTAATTAAATTTTTTCAAAGATGTATTTTTACTTAACTAAATTTAATAAGACCAACTTTTTAATTAATAAAAAAATACCCGTTTTACATTTTTTGGCATCCCAAAAAGATAACATCAAAATTACGGGGCCGCTCTTATGAAAAATCTGTCCTTATTTGATAAATTCACACCAGTTAGTTAAGGTTTAGAGCATTGTTCATTTACTACTTCATACTACAATAAACTACCTGAGGTCCACAGCTAGGTAACCAAAAGGCTGGAAGTACCCTCTTCCTGTCTTCTGTCATGTTACTGATTTCTGCCCCATCATTTGTCTAAATAAACTGAATAAAATAATGTATGTAACTTTTTAACCAAAACCAATATATTTTCACCTTCTTAGCGTCTATGCGTTTGGTTACAATACTTTTCTCGGTTTCTTCAAACTTCTGTTTAAGTTGCTCCTTCTCTGCTGCAGCAATATCTCTAAACATAGAACACTAAAGATGTATGTTTTTTGGCGGTTAATACCAGTAGAATTATACACAAGGTGTTAAGTGTTAATGGTCAAAACCACCACGTATAAGGGACAGACATTTTTATAATGTTATTTAATCAAGCACAATATTCTAGATAACTTCTAGAATTTTTTTAAAGACTTAAATTTCGCTTTTATTCAAAATTGATTTTGATCAAAAAATATAAAAAATATTATTTTTTGACAAAGTTATTCAACTAAAAAAGCGTGCTTACGAACCAATAATGTGGAACATGATTTATTTTTTAAGTAAGTAAAGTGAAAATTCTTCCCAAACTCAGTTATATACAGTTTATCAAGACCTTCAGAGCCATCAAACGAGTTTATAAAATGTTTTTAACATACTGAAAATGGAATGCGACAGATATTAAGATTTAAATTAAATAATTATATGGAGCTAAATAGAACAGTTTGCGCATATTTTATGGCTATTTATTTATTTTTACAATTACTGAGATTTATGTGTAATAATATAAAACCAATTGATAAATTGTCAAGACGACAATTTATGAATTCTTTCAATGCCACTGATGTTCTGGGTTAAACTGTAGGCCAATTAAACTTAAGTTTAGAAGGTACATATTTAGAAAAAGGCCTTGTCGACTTTTGCAGATTATTCTCTTCCAAGGGCGCTAGAAATTTGTATGGTTATTTTTGGCCCTAATATCTAATTTGTCTGCCCAAATGTACAGTAGGACACTTCACTCCATCGGATGGAGTAAAACGTAACGTTGAACTTAATGTTTGATTTCTTTTACCAAAAGTTAACCAAAGTTTATTTTATTTATTATTACACCCTTGTCTTTTAAGGCTTTTCACACAATTTTTGCATATTAATATCATCTTGCCGCAAGAAACAAAAAATAAAAAAATAATGCTCAAATTGTTCTGATGATCTAGCAAATATGATATTTCTAACCATTTTTCAAATACTGTCAGGTAAGCTAAGAAAAACTAACCTAATTTTTTTTTACTTATCGAGTTAAAAACATGTCTTAAATTGGTCAAAAAAAACTTAGTTGAATGAGGTTAATTATTTCCCTCTATGAAACCATTTTCGTGGTTTTGACCATGTTTAAAAAATTAATCCTCCCGCTTCCGAGACCAGGCTCATTTGAAAATAAATAATTTAAAATGTATACAGGGTGGCCAAAACATTTTTGAAAAAATCCGTACATAACTCCGTACATTTTCAGAGCAAATACGTACAATCCGTACATTTTTTGGAAAAAATGTTCATTTGAAAAAAAATCCGTACAAACAGTACATTTAAGAAAAATAAAACCTTTTTTGAAAAAGCACACATCAAAATTAAATTTTTCTTCTTCAATTTTTCATTCATTGTCCTTTATGTTCATGTATGAGGGTTTAAATTTCTTCAGCAGATGCAGTCATAACATTGCTTTTAAATCAATCTGTAAAAATTACCTTCATACATATTACATATATATAATAACAAGTAAATTAGGATGATAATGAGAGGAGAAACAANGAACATATATAAAACGTTAACACTTAACTTTATTTTAATCATATATAACGAATGATTAGGAACCTGTAGTTCCATATTAAAAAATCATTTATATTTTTACAGAGTAAAACACTTTAAATAAATACAAGTTCCCAAATGAATAAAAATCACAGAAATGATGAACTATAATAAATACGTAGGATTCAGAGGATAAATCATAATTTTAATCATAATTATTCTTTAGACAAAATGATGATTAAATATTTGAAAAGGAAATGTTCAAATAGATAAAAATTATTCCTATTATAGCTACTGACATTAAACATTATACAAGACGCGTTACAAAGAAAGTTTGGAAAATCTAAAAAGAAATTTAATTGTAAACGATCTGGAATAAAATAATTATTTCTAAATCTAGGAGTTATGTGAAATATTGCCGGTCAATCATCAAGAGGATTTGTGTATATTCAAATTGCAACCTACACAAAAACATTGATTCAGTTTAGTCTTACTAAAACCAACCTGAACTCTTCCATTTCCGAGTCCTTCTGTCGGTCATATTCTGCCATTTTCTTCTCATATTCTTTCTTTTTATCCAGAATAAATTTGAAAATGGCTTCCTAAAATAGAATTGAATTCAAGGGTATATGTGTTTAAGAATGACTTCCCTCCCCCCGGTGCATAATTTTCGAAGCTAAGGAGAACAAATTAAAATAATAGTTGGTTTGTTATAATATACCTTGTCAAAAATCCACCCTTGTGGAGTTATAACAGGTCTTGAGGTTGGTTGCAGTGTTAAAGAACAGCAGTCAAACCCCTTCACGGCATCCTTGCCTAGACGCATGCGCTCAGCTCCATAACCAGCAGCTTTCTGGTCTTTCTTTCTTTCAGCATAGCTGTACACAGCAGAGTTGGTACAGTTAAGTCCGTGACGGGTCATTCTGTAAAACGCAATTAATAGAATTAATATAGTTCTACTTAAGAAAAACAAAAACTTTTGAACATTTAACATCAACGATTTTAAGTTAGACTCCAAAAAGTAGTGGCTCACCAAACAGTATTTTGCAATTTCATTCATATATCGATGAGCCTTTTTATTGAGAAGAATTATGGGCGGGTGGCCGGAAGCCAGATAACTCCAGATGATTGTTTCAAATATAATCTTACTTAAAGCATCAATAACAGTTCTACCCATTTCAAGCAAGTTTAAGAGGGATAGATTCTTAGATAAAGAAAGTTATTGGAAAGGAGTAAGGTCAATAACTAGAAAGTGAGGAACTTTCATGGCCATCGACCATGTCAGAAATTTTTTTTCTTCTAAATAAATATAACCTTATCGGAAGTTTTTTTTCTTCTAAAATATTATTTGGGTCAGGATTTTCTGTCACACAAATTTAAAACCGTTAGCAACATTTCAAAATCAAAGAAAAATTGCGAAGAAAATGATTCGGGTTACCACTGCATGAAAACCCCTATCGTATTCTATTAAACTAGGCTTTTAGGGCGCTTCGCGCCCATCTTCTAAATTAATTGTGAACATGTTCTCTTTGTGTACATCGTAAATTAAAACAAAAATAATTCGCGTATTTTCACAAAAAATTTCGTGGATTTTCAAAATTTTCAAAACTTTAATGAATATTTGAAAATTTGATCCTTCATAAACCTTCCCTGTGGTCACGTGATGTCCCACAAAAAAATTGGGCCCGATCGGTTAAGCCGTTTTGACGTTTATTGGATACAAACAAACACACAGACAAACGGATATAAAGACAGACAAGCCAAATTTATACATAGATGTCTCGTTTACAGGAAGTCCTATCAGTTGGATGTCCTATTTATGTACTTTTCTCTCACTCTCTTAAAAAGTTAATCTATGAAATATCTGTAAATGAAGTTTTCCAACACTCAATTCAATCGATCTTCTAGTCTAATTCTTACTTGTACTTTCAGTACATTGGATTTTAAGAGTTGCAGCAAGTATCTTTGTACTCTGTACAAATGTATGGGGGAAGGATGGGGACAAATTTTCAATAGTAAAAAAATGTTGTCCCTAATTGGTTTAATAATTTCGAGACGGATCGTAAGATTCCCTTATTGATATATTTTTACGATTTTCTCTTCGCTCTTACTCACAACTTTTTTTAAGTAGCTCTCAGTTCGTCATTACTTTAAACTTTTTGATATTTTTTTCCAGCTTAGTTCTAAAAATTTCAATGGTATATGTCACGCACACACCCTTAGCTGTAAGGAAGAAAAAGTGAAAAACCAACCCACCCTAAATTGTATTTTGCAGAGAAAAATAACTAAACGTTAAATAATAATAATAATTGTATGATTTAATTACAATAAAGTTGAAATTTTTGAATTATTTCTCAAAGTGGCACCATTTCATGCCATGAAAAAATTGGCCTTTACTTCTAAGATCCATCAAAGACCTCAGTAACAAAAGGCCCGGATGTCTGTTATCTCTTTTTTTCAAGTTTTGTCCATGATATCCAGAATTCTGGGTTTAAAAGTATAGCACATTTACACCTTGGATATAAAAAAGCCCCATTGGAAAAAATCTTAGGGTTAAGATCTCTGTATACAAACATTAACTTTGGAATGTTACTTAACGGAGAGATTTTCAAATATTCCACTTAGTTTCATGCCACATAAAAGGATTTCTTTCTAATCTCTCTTTTTAATCGTTAACGGCACTCTCTAATTTATGACTTGAAAGTGATCTACGGAACAAGGGAAAAAAGGTTAAGATTTAAGAATATGTTAATTCCAACTTACCTTTAGTTAGATCAGACTTAAAGGACCAACTACTTGACAATCTTGATAATCTGAAACAAACTGTTTATGAAATTAAATTAAAACTGGATTATTCACTAAAATATTTTCCAGCATAGAATTAAGAACATATATAAAACGTTAACACTTAACTTTATTTTAATCATATATAACGAATGATTAGGAACCTGTAGTTCCATATTAAAAAATCATTTATATTTTTACAGAGTAAAACACTTTAAATAAATACAAGTTCCCAAATGAATAAAAATCACAGAAATGATGAACTATAATAAATACGTAGGATTCAGAGGATAAATCATAATTTTAATCATAATTATTCTTTAGACAAAATGATGATTAAATATTTGAAAAGGAAATGTTCAAATAGATAAAAATTATTCCTATTATAGCTACTGACATTAAACATTATACAAGACTCGTTACAAAGAAAGTTTGGAAAATCTAAAAAGAAATTTAATTGTAAACGATCTGGAATAAAATAATTATTTCTAAATCTAGGAGTTATGTGAAATATTGCCGGTCAATCATCAAGAGGATTTGTGGTGTCTCGATTCTTGAGCTAATCTCAAACCCTAAAATAATAAAATTTGATTAACATGATAAATAACAAATATAGATATCCTCAAACTATTCGGCATAACAGGATTTGTTTCTACTTTATCCTCGTCCTCACAGGGGACGTGAGGATAATAAAAAAAAACTAATTTCCCCTGGATTGATAATACTTCACCTGTAGGTGCTTCTGTTGTTCATCCAGAACTGTTGAACTGAGAAGCAAAGAGTGACGAGGTATAGTAGAGCAGCAATCCAGCAGTTCAATGCGTTCTGATTATATCCCGACTCCATTTCCTTCCTTAGCTCACTAAGGTCAGTGTATTCCTCCTGGAAAATATATTCATAGAATACAATCCGAATCCATTTTAATATCGTATCATTACCCATTCATACAGCAAAAACTAGTCACACAACCAGTGTTTCGGATCCATATCATTTTGATTCGGATCCGGATCCGCGGATCCGCATCCGTGATGATGGATCCGGATCCGAGGTAACTTTTGATTCTGTGAATCGGATTTTCCCTATTAAATGTTATGCAAGGTTATAATTTATAAACTATAGTAATCCTAAAGTTAAAAATGTCGTCATTACTATTATATAAATGTAAACATTAAATTATTAAAGATAATTTTGAAAAATTTTCGTCATGTAAATAATACATTTACGAACCATTTTGATTTATTTATTCCATGGTTTTGGTTAATTTTTGGCGCTACCCGGATCCATATCAACGTTTCCTGATACGGATCCGGATCCGACCAAATGATACGGATCCGACCGGATCCGGATCCGAAACGCTGCACACAACATCCATTAGGTCCACCTTAAAGGCAATTTAAGAAAATCTACGCGTTTTACTTTGTTGATAACGATTGAGTAACCTCTAACAAATTTTGATCAACTTTTTTAAAATAAAATTATTTTTTTTTATCAGATATTGATGAGCTTTGAGGTGGGGTGGTATGTGTGTAGAACAAGTTCCCACTAGATAATTAAAGCAAATTTTTCATCCACCAGAAAGTGGATTGGTGTCCACTTTGGTAGAACCCAGCGCCTCACGCAAAAGATATTGCAGAATTATGGCTAATGAAGAAAATTAAGATTCTTGTACCATGAAGAGAATGTGACGTGAACCCCCAATCCGTGGTCCCTGGAAGTAAACCTCTATGTGACCGATTCTTGGAAGTATACCCCTATATGTGCGATGTCCCTGTAAGTTAAGGTCCCTACATGAGTGGTTTCTGAAAATGAATCCATACAATCGTAGTCCCTGGAAGTAATCCCTAAATGCGTGATAGGTATTTCCCAGAAGTAAACCCTATATGTAAGTATCGCAAACCCTTCAAAGTAATGTATGCAATATAACTACACTCAACAATATTTTTATATTAAAATACTTAAAGTAAGTCAGTCATTTGAGCAAACATAACCAATTACATTAAAAGTTCTCACAAGTCTGAATCAAATTATGTTCAAGGTAAGGTTAATGAGGAAAGGTTTTAGAGGAAATGTCACAGTTAGTTTGGCTCATTTTCAAGCTATTTTCAATAACGTGAATAATCGGATGGGTTTATTTCATTAACTAAAACCAAATTGAGGTCTTTGATCAAAAGATATTTATATTTGGACCACAAATAAATTCATAAATCAACCATCTGGAAAAATTATGATAAAATATTGGGAAAATGGGGAGGGGGGAAGTGATCTAAAAGGCGCAACTTCATTATAATATTTGTAAAAGTTATTTTCCTATGCAATTTTATTTAACAAAATTACATCCCGATCGAGGCCTGTGTACATGTAAATGTTATATAAGTTTCAATTAGACTTGTTAAACCCCTAAGTTGCCTTGTTTATTTCCTTACTTATTTTTATTTAACAAAAACTACAACCTAAGAAGGGGCCTGTGAACAAGCTTCGACGAGCAAGGAAAAAAATGGGGGAAAATGTTTATACTACTGAATATTTTGATAAACAATTATAAATTTTATTATACAAATATCCTTGATCTAAACCGTATATATTCAGTATCCATACTAAATAAATTCTCTTAAATAACGACACTATCGGACTAACCTCCAGGGGAATATCTTCAATGAGAGCTACACTGTGAATGTAGAAGAAAACTCCCATAAGAGATAGCTGAAGGATTCCCCAGGCCGAGATTACAACTCCACACAGGGATAGTTTAGGTCCACACAAAGGCATATTGTCTGAAAGAATTTCGTTAGGGGAGTGTCTACTGGTACCTAACTAAACTAAAAACATATTTAAGGCAATCATATTATTTACCATTGAATTTTATTTAATTAAAGACAATTTTCATTTTTACCAAAATAAATTAAATGAAACAGATAAATATGGTTAAACTTAAAATATATAAATACATCATCTGACAGAAATATAGAGAGAAAGAAGCTTTAATTAGTCACTTTTACTTATGAGAAATCCTATCCTTAAAAATAGGTAAAGTTTTAAATTTTGTAAGTCAGAACCTTTCCCGTGTTGCGATAAGGAGCCAACTATTTTTTAAGCAATATGATAAAAGAGATGGTCGAGAAAAGACTGCGGGTAAGTCCTAGATATCGCTTTATACAGTCATAAGACATGCGCAACTTCCCTCTGAATGCCGCTGGAAATATTATGCGTTGGAATGTTACATCATCGTCTATACGCAACATCCCAGCTACTGAACTTCTTACCTACTAACTTTCCGACCTACTGCAATATGGGACCTACGTCAGCTGTTTATTTTTGTATTATTTGAGGGATTAGGTTAGGTTAAGACTATTTCTGGACCGAGCGCTGCGTAAAAATACGTATTTTCCATACATATGATCATTTGTATTTTCGTAACCATTTCTTTGGTAAAAGTACGTATTTGACAAACGTAAAAATGCGTATGTAAAAATACGTATTTAAAATCCGTAAAAATACGTTTATGAATAATTCGTAAAAATATGCGTATGTAAAAAGCCTAAAAAATCCAATGAATCAGGATTTTTTAGGCTTTTCCTATAACGAGATTAAGGTTTGCAAAAAATCCTAACATTTCTTAATTTTTGGAATTTTTAGGTTTTACCTATACGTAAAAATACGTATTTTTCAAGTTCTAAAACCAAAATTTTGCATGTGCATTGTTCAAAGGGGGGGAATGGGGGCTAAGCCCCCCCCCTGGAACAGTGAAATCTATTGAATTCAGGGGGTTTCAGATCCCAACGGGTGCTGAGCTCCCCCTGGAACAAATTCCTGAATACACTTTTTCCTTCATTTCTATACAACTAATTACACAAATTTCTCTATCTTACAATCCAATCCAATATTCTGTCTACAGATCAATTCACACCATCAACATTCCTTAATCTATATCCATCTAAATCAACATTCATATATGCATTTTGTCTTTTTCATCAATTACGTATTCAATATGTGTTATACTTCATACAATTACCATTATACCTGTTAAAAGTAAAACTTCTTTTTATCAAAAAATCGAGAATTTACTGACATTGATTCTAATGAAAACACAAATTTACTCAAAAATGATAGCAATTTTGAAACATTGCATTTTCCAAAATGTTTGCATTAAATTTCTCACAGAACAATTCTCTTAAAAAGAATACAAAATATTTTGAAATTCTAACTTAAAAATGCATTTTTGTGCAGTTGAGGTTTCGTGAATATATTGACACTTAAAAAATTACTTGGTATGAAATTTACGAAAATATACGTATTTTTAAGTTTGCCTCAAACTGTATAACTCTAAAAAAATTAAGTAAAGAAAAATACGTAAAAATACGAATAGTAAAAACCTAAAAACTTTGAAACATTTCTTGGTATAAAATTTACGAAAATATACGTATTTTTAGGTTTCCATTAAACTTTTAAACTCTAAAAAATACAATTTTTTAAGTAAAGAAAAAACCTAAAAAATACGTAAAAATACGTAAAATAAAAACCTAAAAATTAAGAAAAATTACTTGGTAAAAAGTATACGTAATTTTTCGTATAAATACGTTTCTGGAAAACCAAAGCATTTAAAAAAAAAATGTTTGGTATGATAAATACGTAAAGATACGTAAATATACGTAAGTTCTTTACCCAAAAGTTGAGCATACGTATTTATACATAAAAATACCTATTAATACGTATACCTATATAGAGACTTTGATATTTTCAGGTTTTCTTATTATTAGTGTGTAAAAAGATATTTAGTTCTATTTAAGCATATATTATTTCTCATGGATAAAATTTGGCAAATGCGAGAATAAGAATCTAAACAATTAAAAACAGTTTTAACCTTAGCGTAAGCTTTAGAAAAATAAAGATATTGAATTGAAAAGTCTAAAATAGTTTGGAAACCTTGTTCACATTTAATATAGCACCAATAAACAAAACATATTAATTAATATTATTTAAATTTGTGCTTTTATTGTATTTTATTATTCAAATCTCTTCACTAAACTATTGTTATGTAATATGGTGCTCATATATGGCCAATTTCTTAGACATTATACCATAGGTAGAACCATAGTCACACTATGGTTACGCTTCACCAGTGCAGTGTAGATAGTTAGATACGACCTATAGTTGTACCTATGGTAACATGAATAAGAAATTGGCCAATAGCTAGATTCGTACATGAACATGATACACCTGTTAGAATCTAGAACTATTATTTTTTGGAGCTTTGTGCACACATTCAACGGATTGACTCATGTTGTTCATTTTACAGCTGATGGAAATATAATTTCTTTTTGAACACAAGAACAAGCCGAGTATCTAATTAGAAATCGGTACATTGAGCAGAGCCAAACCTGCAACAATTGAAAAATTCTACGACTTCTACGACGGGGTTGGTACTTTAAAGGTATACTATAGGACTAGTACTAAGTCAGCGAAGTCAGAATTACATAATTATGAACTAAATGATATTTTTTGGTTTTCATCGATTATATTTTTTCATTTAGGGGGTAGAACTTGTTTCGTGCCTGGATGCCGTCCACCCCCTGGGACATCCAGATTTAAATTCCCTAAGAACCAAAAGAAGAAGAAAGTGTGGCTCAATTCTTTAAAAATTGACGAGACTAATTTAAATCCATGTGCAAGAGACATTCTTAATCTTTTTGTGAAAATCCGGGTTTTCCAAAGATTAAGGAACCTAAATGTCATCACATGATAAAAAATTTGAAACAAAAAGGTCAATTAATTTTTTAATAAATTTTTAAAAATATTTTTGTATTTTTGTTATTGTTTTTTTTTTTTACTTTTTTTGTGTATAATGTGTATACTTCAGTCGGACTATTTAGTTTACATAGTTATACAGAGAAAAAAAAAGAATAAAGCCACCTAACGAGTAACGACAGTAAAAATACTCATTATAATTGTGAGTTGTAAATATTTTCTACGTATTCCTCCAAAGACAAAATTTATCTCCGCTGAGTCTTCGCAAAACTAATTAGGACTTGTCGTCTTTCTTTTTACATTTGTGGCAACAGAAAATCGACAATCTGAGCACATTGTCGATTTTTCTCTTGCCATCCATTGTACTTATAATCTATTTGGGTTAGACTAGACTAAATCCGTTAGAATGATGCCGATTTTTATTTAGGTGAAAGTTAAGATTTCTTTGTCAACATAAAATAAATAGCAAAATATTTGTTATATATTTGTACCTCTGCCATCCATTTTCCCATGTAACTACTCGAAAAAATTGAGAACAAAATTATAGGACATGTTCCTTGAAACTTTGATTCAATTGAAACAATATTTTCATTTACAAAAATTCAATATTGCAAAAAATCAGATCTTTGAAAAAAAAGCCTGCCAGAGCAGTAAAGACCAGTTCTTATTTAGATTCTTCAGATTCATTATTCAAAATTAATGACATTCATGCATGGATTGGATACTTTATGAATCCTGATTTTAAAGAGACTAAATCCGCAAAAATATTCAAAAGTTTCAAATATCTATCTTGAGATTTACGATAGATTTAAATGCGAAATAACAAGTCTATTATGTGACAGATTTTATGAAAGACCTGAAACTTCACAAGCATAATTGTCTCCGCTATTCTCTACACCCTGTACTTTATCTCATTGTTACTGCCTCTGATCTCACCCTCCACTGCCAGTTTACCTGTCATTAAATCAATCGCCCTACTTTTCAATGACATTAAATCAAACGCCTTAAAAATATTATGTTTAGTCCCGAAAGTCCAATTTTTGAGCTATACAACTTAAGAAGATGTGGGACACCAGCTTATATAAGAATATTCTGGGGGGGGGGATTCGATCGGCTGGCAAAAATACTTTTAGTCCCTCGCCCTTTTTTAAGAAAATGTAACCCCCAAAGCGTACACATAGAAATTTGCCCAGGGGGTTTTGAGTTCTAGTGGGGAAAGATCAAGGCAATATACACTGAGATGGGAGGAAAGAGTAGAATTGAAAATTAGAAAAACTAGAATAAGGAAAGACCAAAGTTTACAACAGTTTTCAGGTTGATCATTTTCCGAAATAAATCGCGAATTTCAAGGAGAGAGGTTATTCATGATGTGTAAACTATCCCATTATCAACCAACAGTTTGCGAGTTTTGTTTTTCAAAATAAAAGTTATGGGGAAAATAGAACATTTAAAAGCTTTAATTTTACAGTTTCTGTTGGGTTTCCTTACTTATTTGATGTCATTTTACCAAGAAGTTTTATGCAAAATTTTACTTTAATTAGTGCTAACGGCACGAATTTGTGACTTCTGGAAACCAGCTTTAATTTTACAAGCAACCTGGAAAAAAACTTGTTCAGTTGAAAATGGCTAATGAATAACTTCCAGTCTTGGTGTAAAAAGACGTGTATGATTTAAAATCAAAAAGAAATGCAACAAAAAATTCCGTTTTTTTGCCTTAAAAGGTAATACTGATTTGATATTTGGCCTATTGGAAGGGAAACCATAACTTTATCAAAACCCAGATAATACCGAAGAAGTCTTGCTTTGCTAACATTGTGAAATAATAAGCGATCATTATGTATTGTAGAAAATATCTAAATCAAATATAGATACAGAACAAGTAGTTTTATAAATGAATTTTAACAGGAGTTGAATCTTTCGTTCTAGGTTAAGTTCATTGGGTTGTCAACAAAGCGGGGTAGATTCATGCTCGCTAAACATTTCATAGTTGATTCTCTTCAATATTTCAACTATTATCAAACAATAAATGTTAAAAAACATTATTGATTTCTTTCTGAGCAGAACCTATCTCCCTCCCGCCTGTCTTGCAGCTTCTTCAAGTGTTCGAACCTTCATCTCTCTATCCCGTGCAGCTCTGAAATATAAACAATGTCATGTACACTGTACAGGGAGTTACATGTCCCACGAAACACGACACTTGAGAGAAGACTTGAAAATCGTCTTAGACCTCGATAATAATTTCCGGAATTCTTTCCGTCAACCTCATTTTTAAAGTAAAATTCTCGAATATATAGTTAAAAACTTACCGGCCCTTGGTACTGGCATTATCAAAGTGTGGTATGTCTGTTTGTGCTTTCAAAATAACCGGAGAAATGAAGAAAATTTGATTTAATATATTGATATCTGAACAAATATCATTTGCCACGCAAAAGTACGTCGACAAATGCCGCATATTATCAGAGGCGTAATCAAAGGGCCGGGCTCTGGGCTTAACCCCCCCCCCCCCCTGGGTCGGTGAAATCTATGGTTTTCAAGAGGTTTTTGGGCCCCACCGGGTGCTGGAAAAAAGTTTCAAGCCCCATGGTTTCGCCCCTGCATTTAAATTTCGAAACACAATATTTATTGAATAATTTGAAAGTAAGAAACCACCAATAAGTCGCCATTTTTTGTGCGTTTTCCTTAAAAGAATAAATTTAAATTTTCTTATATTGGCAGGTATGTATTTAAAAACATATTTATATAGAGCCGGGTTTATATTAGAACTCAACACCTTCCCCTCCCCAAAATTAAAAATAAAGACAAAAAACATTAAAACAATCTTTCTTCTTTTCTTTTTTCTTTTTTTTCTGTTGAAATTTAAAACCTATGCTGAAATTATGTATTATTCCAAACTTTGATATCTTACTTAAAGAGTAAATCCATTAAATTTTTTTTAACCATGTCTCCACCCGCACAAATCCGCACTTTTTAGTTCTTAACATTTGATGTGATTTATTTGATTAAAATTGAAGAATGGCTGTCTTCCTTTTACTTAGTTTCTCTCTCTCNAGACCTAATGAAATAGAATTCATTAGACCTTAGTTATATTTACTCTTCAATAATAAAAACATGAAAATAGAACATATCAAAATTTCCTCTATTATGATTTTCCATACCTAAAAACTTATGATTTTGTTAAAAAAATTCAAGACACAAAATAGAAAACCAAAATAAAGACAAATTTCTTTTCTGAAATTTCGACTTATTACAAGATTTTCAACGAATATTTTACAGGATTAGATTAGATAGTAGATGTCCAATAAAAATAATCTTTGAAGTTTAAAGAGTTTTATAACGTGCTACTTATGAACAGTAAAAATATTCTCCCAAGCCAGTTACAATCCTTACCTAAAGTACTCCTCTTGTTGTCTCTGCTGTTGATGTTGTATATGCTGATTAGCAAGAGCACCAGGATGCATTGGAGAACCCATCAATCCTCGTTCTCGTTCATACAACAACTGTCTTTGAAGAGCTTCATGGCCACCTAGACCTGGAGGAGTCATCAATCTGCTAAGGTAATCTGCCCCAGGTGGTCTTAAACCTGCAAGGTTTCCGAAGTCAGGCCGATATCCTGGTATTCCACCTCGAAGACCTGAATAGTAAATATAATTATAGATTCAGCTTTCAATGGTAAAATGAATGTCTTTTACAAAAACGTTAAACAAATCCTTTGATCAAGACTTTTTTGGATGCGGTAAGCCAATAAACTTAAAAAATACCATGAGCTGTAAACATATGTATTGGGAGATTTGGGAAAGCAAAACTCATACAAAGTTAAAACTCAGCTGAATAGTTAAGCAGGCCGGATGCGTACTAAATGACTTTTCGATCGAAGAGTATAAAAAAGGTGGAAATATCTGGAATTTTTTATCCAATTTTAAATTTCCCCTCCCAATTGGTATACATTTTGACGTTTAACTTTTTGTCTTGCACGCAAACTTTGTAAAAATAATTAATATAAAAATATTCCCTACCAATTAATTTTTCGTCAGAATAATTTTTAGTTTTTAGTTTATAACAATGGTATTGCGATTATTTGTGTCTAATACTGCGGGGGCGATCTTTTTGTGTTGTAACCCAGGAATATTGAAGTAAGAACTTTCGGGATTGCAGGGGCGTAGCTAAGGATGTCCTAGAGGGTGGAGATAATATTTTTTAAAACTATTTTTTACTTTATAATCTTGATCTTTAAAATTTTTTTTTCACTCCCCCCCCCCTGAAGATGAGCTTTTTTCCCCCAATTTAATTAAGCTTAAGTATTTGTAATTTAATTAAAGACAATGCGCGAAGCGGCACGTTTTTTCAGCTACTCTTTGTGGGGCAAAATAATCCCATTTTAGATGGGGAAACTCATCTTTCACTTATCCCGCCTAAATCTACGTTTGTTCAATAATCCTAAGAAAGGCCTATAATGCTATTGAAGTCATATGTGTCACTTGAATCAAATTGATAAAGTTAAATGATTAAAGCGAAAAATTAAATTTTAACAAATTTTTTGACGGAATGGCGGGAGAGGTTTCTTAAAGATCAGAAGTATTTATTAATTATAAAAAGTGCCTAATTATGACTAATAAAGTGGATTTTAAAACTTTAAACTTTTTTTACGTTTGGAGAAAAAATTGAATTGAAGTTTATTTCATTTTTTTTAATTTTTTATATAAAGGCCATTCCTTTTCGATTAAGTCAGCCCATGGAAGTAAGTGTCATGGATTTTCTTAAAAATTTTGCACACCGCTAGCATATTATGAAAAAATTTCAGGCTCCTATGACCTCTTGTACAGTTCCCGCCTTGAAGCAATTTACTTACTGACCTCGCATGCTTTAATTGGTAATAACATTTTTGTTTAATGAGATATAAAGTTTATTTAAACGCCATTTTTTTAATTGACTTCCATGATTTCCAAAAACTGACTGAGTTCATAAAGAATGACCCTTAAGCGATACTTTTTTTGAAATTCTTTTTAAATCTAGAAAATTTTATTATTTTGTTTAAATCTTAAAAATTTTTCAGAAAAAAGGTATTGCTTAAATTAAAGATTACAACAAGCGAAGTTTACTCCAGAAATATTTCTCCAAGTATCTTCCTTACTGCGTAAGAAATGTTTTAAATTTTAGTATAAATCATGACAATCAATAAATAACTCAAATCATTAGTAAATTTCTTGTGCCACTATGTCCAAAAATTTTTTATTTCACATAAAACCCAAGATTTAAAAGAAAGCTGTGCTGTATGCGGAGGCTTTTACAGCATAGAAAATCTGGGAGCTCGGTCTGCATAGCGGAGGCTCATACTAGGTCGGGAACAATAAACTAGAATATGCCACAAAACTAAAATTAATCTTTCAATGATTTAAATATTAAAAATTCTAATACAAATTTTAAGAAGATTTTTAAGGAAATAATCGAATTCAAATAAGAAAAGAAGTAAATGTTAAGAGAAGGGAAATGGGGAATGAAATGAGAAATGCAAGATTTCTACAACTCTAATTGAAACTGTCCTTGCGAGTGTTGGCATAAAAAAATCTTACCTGATAGCGTCAAAAGGTCCATGAATCCATCTAAAATAAATAACAGCTATGTAATAAAAAATAATTAGGCACAACAAATTTATCTAATTTTTATTTGAAAATTTTAAATCTGTAAGTCAGTTATCTACAAACAACTTTTAAAGATAATCTTCGTCATTGTCAAGTCAAGGCATGTATTTCAAATTAGTTCAAATTAGTTCAAATTAAATTTCATTAAGAAGGTTTTTATACAAACGTTGCAATGAGATACTTTACAGTGATGTCAATCAAATATTAGACGTCAAGAAATAATGAGTCCAAAAATGTTTTACACCCGCAACGATTTAGTCAAAAGTGTCCGGAGCTGGGAACTTTTGAATGTGATATCCTTAATCCCGATCTGTTAATTAATCTGGAGATTAAATTCATGAGGACAACAAGCAATATTTAATCTGGAGATTAAGAAAAAGAGTGGATCAAGCATTAATCCCGATATCCACCATTCTAAAGTTCCCAGCTCAGCTGTATGAACTGTATACCGAGGTTGTAGGTAACTAAACATTTTCTAATTCTAGGTAACTTTTGAATTACCTTTTTACTATTCTAATAGTTATAAACATTGGATACTGCTATTTAAATCTCTCTGATCCATTATTTACCTTTTTTATAATGTACCAATGTACACTTAAGAGTTTGTTAAGTATCAGTTCAAATTTTATCATACAGTCAACTTGATGATGGACAACCCTTTTTAAACTCCCCCTGGCTCTTAAATTGATCTTGTTTTATTTAAAGTCTACATGTCCCCTTTGTAGTCCACTGTTATAGTCCCAAATCAAGGACTATATATACTTTCTAATGTATCCCTCTGCAAAGTTATGTATTACTGAAGTTCTGACTCTGAGTAGTCTCCTGAAGACAATAATTGGTCCTCCCTTCTCATTGTTTATCATGTAGTAGTAGCTGTAGGGAAAGAAAAGGGGGAATTCGATGTGAAAGAGAAATAGTAAGGTTTTTGAAAATTTGTTTAACTATAGTTATCACAGAATATCTAAACCTTTGAACTATGATTAACCAGGATAACACCTTTCTACAAAAGATTAATTAATATTCCTGAATGTTATTTTCCAAAAATACCTGGATATCCGGGAATACCAGTCGGTTGGCCCAGCATCATTGCGGCATCAGGATGCATGTGTAGATGGGTGTGACTGTGGGCGGACACCTAAATTAATAAAAATATTAAAAAGTTTTTGCTTTGCGTAGCAGAAAAAATTTTCTTTTCTCTATTTGATCAAAAAAAATATTACCTCGGGATTGATACCAGCCATTTGTAATCGAACCAATGGATCAGTTGCGAGCGCCATCCTTTCCACGGCTAATCTTTCAGCGGACATTCTCTCGCTAACTATGAAGAAAAAGTTCAAAATTGTTAAAGAAAAATTGACATAAGCAGATACAGGGTGTCCCACGAAACATGACATTTATAAATCGTTATTTTTAGTTAAAACATCCTTTTGCTTCATTATCTTTTACTTTGAAATCAATTTTAATATAACATGACTCCCATATAATACTTTTATTGATCTTTGGTATCAAACAACTTAACAAATTATGGAAAAAGACATTCTAAACTATTCACCAACTGTCATGTTTCGTGGGACACCCTGTAGCACTAAACAATTCTTTATTATAGATATATAGTCCTGATGGGGTATATATTTTCAAACGTTATCGGGTTGCCAAAATCTTTATATTTAACAATATCGAAACAGGATATAACATTTAAAAATTGTGTAAATGATTGAGAAGTATCACTGATTTAAATCTGTGAACTGTCTCAAAATCGCGACATGTTCCAAAACGTGTTTTGCACCCAAACTTCGTCTTTGCTTCAAAAATGTGATGTGTTTTAAAATGAAATCAATAATCATAAAAATTGAAATTTAATTATTAGTGAGGGTTTAGTATTTGAATTTTTGTTATAAATACATAAATAAAAGCATACTGACAGTTTTTTTCTTCTCGACTTAAATTGAAAAATATGAACTGTTAAAAAAAAAATAACTTTTCACAGATGTAACAAACCTGACATCACGGTTTGGAATGTTCTTCCCCTGTCTTAGAATTTAATAATAATTAAAGTTGGCATTTTTGTTGAATCTGAGTAAAAAAAAATATCTTCAAGACGGGGAGAATGTTTTTAAAGCAAACAGTTACCCTTGACCTGATAGAAAATCTTTTTTACATACTTTTAGTTCATTATACTTACGCGAGTACGGAGATTGAAGGCCTGGTGCTCCGTATCTCCTCGAAGCTTCCAGATATGGATCATGCGGAGGTATACCAGGGAGACGGATACCACCGCGTCGGAACATTTCATCTCTCATCCTATGGAAATATTTTCTTAATGAAGAAATAAAAATAGATTTAAAAAACCTGTTAATTGGGAAAAAGCTACCTGTTTTCTCTATCTCGGAATTCAGAAAGTTCCCTGTCCCTCTTCTCCTTTTCATGTCGGTCCAATTCCAGCCTGTCTTGCATTGAACTGTAAGAGTTAGGAGTTAAGTTTTGAGATATTCTTAACCCAGGAGATATTCCGGTCCCTAACATGCTTCCTCGCTCTTTCTCTTCAGTCTTCCTTATCCTCTCCTCCCTTTTTCGTGCAAGTTTACTCTCAGGCACTGGTTTAAAGAAAAGATCCGTTCTAGCGCAAGAATTGTTTTCTCCTCGATTAAGATGTCTTACAAAGATGGCAGATTGTGAGCGATGGCATTCGATATCATCTATCCTTGGTTCCGGAGACGGTTCTCTAGGAGCACTACTTACGGGAGAATTTGGAGTAGTGGCAGGTTCAGGTTCCAGAACCTGAATTTCAGGTTGGGGCCCAGGACTTGGAGACGTCAGATCAACAGGAGTTCTTGTCCCACTTGTGTTAAGACTTGGAGATATAAGGCCATGCCCAAGAGGAGGAAGAACCATACTAGAGTTATGAGCACTCAAGGATCCTATAGAAAGATCTGCAGGTTGGTAGTCCATAGAATTGGAGAGAACGCTTGGAGCAGGACTAACCGGGGGATTTACTAATATTTGTTTATTTCTGTAATTGTTCGCCTCACTGTATAAATTTTGTCCTGGGGGTAGAGACTCTTTGGGTTGAGACAAATTTTCAGGCTCTTTATTTTCATTCAATACTATTCCCTTACTATGTTCGTCATCAAGATCACCTTCGATATCATTGATTGACGGACCGTTGTGAATTGGTTCCGTATCTTGATGTATTCCTGGAGTAGTGGCTCGGGACATGTCTTCTTCCGGAGTTCTACTCCCGGATTCACTGTGACTGCTGTAGGAACGAACACTGTCACTCTCCTCTCCTCCGTCTGGAGATATCCTCTTTACAAGTCCTCGAATCTCTGTTTCGACGTCTCCTAAGCCCTCCGTCCCTCCTGGACTAATTGGTCGGAATGTTAACTGACTCCTAACCATTCCAGGGAGGAGCGGCATTTCGCCGTACCTCTTGTAGTACATCCTACAATTAGTGCATAGAAGTTTCAACTCTTTTCCACCATGGTGCCAATCTTTGCTAACCTTCGAGGAACAATGACGGCAATGATAAGGGTTTCGTTCTCCACTATCTTCTGCTCCACTATCCTCTACCTCGCTAGCAGAGCTAGTTTCTTTCTTCTTTCCGCTCTCTTTGGTGGATTTAGCTCGTCTTAATACATTTGGACGATGTCTCCTACCTCTAGGTCTACTACTTGACGCTCCAGGTGTTTTCTTCCAAAGATAGTAATAAGTTATGAGATCACCTGTTTCCTTTTCAGGAAGAAACTCTTGTCTGATCTTAAAAAAATTCTTTCCATGTATCCTTAATCCTTTTATAAATCTCCGGTTCTCGTCTTCTGACCATTCCTTTCCCAGCCCGGTAGGTACAGGATTCTTCACTAGAGTTTGTAGAGCTGTACCAGTGTCATATTCACAGTCGTGTAAAACATTCAAAGCATTCGCAGTAGTATCATCCCTACTGGCAGCGTAGCAACCGTCTTCTGTAGATCCTCCGTCACACATACCGGCAAAAGCCGCCATAGACCTTGCTGCTCGTAGGAACATCAGAAGATCATGATCATGCGTCCTACCAGGCTCCCAAGTAAGCTCCTCGTATCTATCTGGTCGACCGATGGGAGGAATATCCCCTTCAAACTTAGGAACCTTAGCTTGATGAGATGGACCAACTCGTATCTCTCCCTGTGTTGATGCTAGTCGCCTTGTCTCTGGATTATAACTTAGTGTATAAAAAAACGCATCGTCATTTGGTTCAAACTGCTTTACCGTTATAATATCTAAACAGTGAGTTACCCCACATTTTCCACGCAACACATTAACTGGAAACTGGTCAGTTGCGTTGCTGATAAATAACTCGCGTGACTTGACCAGAGGGTCGTGTAACGCAGCCTCGCCATGCTCTGTATATCGATCCTTGATAAGGAAATTATAAACCGTTTCTGGAACTTCGGTTGTTCGATAAAACCATCGAATGCAGACGACCAGATGATCTCGTTTACTTCGTTTAAACTCTGTTATGTTACAGATATAGAAGGGTTGATCTGGGCGTTGACTTTCAATAAAAACTGAGTCTCCGATTTTGTATTCAATGTTTTGATCGTAGCAACGGTATCTGATATATTCTCCGGCAGAATTCTTCCATGCTTTTCCTGTACAGTACTTGCCCTTCCCAGTTACAGATTGTCGGATGTTTTCAACCTCGACGTCGGCGGGAGCTGGTGAATAAGACTGAAATATTCAACAATAAATTTATAAATCAATCACTCCGATTATATGAAGTTAATAGTTATAAGCATCTGGCTTCTCAAAACTAGAAATGTTTCGGTAAAACGACAATTTCTTGGCTTAATCGGAGAAGAAAATTCAAAGACAGTAACAACTGCCACTTTATATTTATTTAAAGTGCATATTGTTTGCACATATTTTGTGTTCGGTTTGTTCAGGATAATTGCGGGTCCAATCAAATTGGTTATACACTGTGCTATGTAATCTTGTTGGACGATTTCTTGGAGGGGCGTGATTTTTCTTCTTGAAATTATGATAAAAAATATTAAAAAATTTATTAAAAAAATCAATTAAAAAAGGGAGTTAGCACCGGGCATAATACTCTTTTTGAGATAGAATAAAAGGTTAGCACCCNTTGGAGAGAGGATATATTTCACATTTGAAGCCCAGTCTCTAGAAATGTTCTGTAACGTGTCTATTGTTAGTAACGTTAGGTAATGTTTCTATGACATTATTTTAATGTTTGTGATGCTACTTGGTTTGCAGGGTAAGGATAATTTCACCCCTCCCAACAAAACTTCTTGCCGTCAAAAGAAGTAGGAGTTTAGTTCCTCTTATCTCCGTTTCGAGGTTTATGGAATCTTACAGGGTGCTTAAATCCAAAAACGCAAGAGTTGACCCCACAATTATTAATGATATCTGAGATGAGAGAAGGAAAATTCTGCTCAGTCTCACTGTAAAATTTATCTCATTTGAGCTCTGAATAAGTAATTACTTGAAAGAATATTATTGATACGTTGTGGCAAATGCCTTTACTTGTAGGTCTCAGAAATAAAAGGTTTAGACCTTAATGTTGTGTTTTTCTTTTAATCATATGATTATGAAAGACCCTAAATCCCGAGTTTGGGGTTTTAGATCGGTTGGATCTCAAGTTTTTACCCATTAACAGCATCAACAATCAAACTCTTCATAGGAATCACAGGAAGGCTTTTCTCTACATACTTACATCGTCCTTGTTAATATCCTTAAACTTTCGATATTTGACCCAGCCCCCTAGAAATTGTATTAACTAGGGACTCTTTACCTAAGCCGAGCCCCTTGACCGATCAAAATTTCAAATTTAGCCTCCAACTAAATTCGATTGTCAGTAAATTTTAAAAATCCTAACAATTTATTTGGTTTTGTTTATTCAATTTGAAATAGAAGATGGGCGCGAAGCGCACTGTAAGCCTGGTATCAATATCTTTTCAATCATCCATATAGCTCCGGTAATTTTCCAGAAAAAAAATTGAAGACTAATAAAATTACTAGCTCACCTTATCTGCTGTACAGATACCAGTTTCATCTACTCCATCCCAGTTCCTCATAAATACACCAACCACCTCGTATCCTTTCCGTTTTAACAACAAAGCTGAAACAGTACTATCTACACCCCCACTCATTCCTACCACAACCTTTTTTAAACCTCGCAACATTTTGTTGATACCCAAACTTTCAGATTACCATACCAAGCCCGGCTGAAGCCGCGTTCT